ACACACACACACACACACACACACACACACACACACAGGAGCGGTAGCACCTTCCCAGCGTCACGGTTGATTGACAACTCTGACTGGAAGGTGTGTTTGTGTTTGTGTGTGTGTGTGTGTCTGTGTGTTACCATGGTGAAGAATACTTCATGTAAAATGATTTGTCTCCGAATCATCACCGGGGCAGCCGCCAAATTTGCACCCAAGTATTTCTCGACCACCGGCACGAAGAGGTGGTGGCGAACACACACACACAGATGTTATCAATCTGTAATCTTATCAAGCTGCTCATTCAGGACAAAGGTTCTTTTTTGGAGGAAAGTGAAAGTGTGTTTGTTGCGTGGCCGCCGCGCTGCGAACAAGGACCCATTTTCTTTTTTGGCCTTTTTGGAGAAAGCTGTCCAAAACCTCTCTCCAATTACGCAAATGAGTTTTTACCGTAGGCGGGTCCCCCCCCCCCAGGCTCAGCGGGGCCACTCATTAGGGACAGAAGGTTTCCTCAGCTCATGTCGGGCAGCGTGAGCGGACGAGCGGAGGAAGGAGGGATGAACGACGGAGTGAGAACAGGAAAGAGAACCAATCACCATCTCACCACAGAGTTTTCTCCTGAGACTCGAGTTTATTATCGCATCTGTCAGGAAGGTTCTGTTCTCACTCCTGTGTTTGCTGGGGAGCGATTCTCACAAGAACCACTGAGAACTTTTCCAGGACGCTGGGTGGAAGGATGGATTCAAGTGGGGTGGATCCAGGATTTGTCACATTCTCGGTGGAGGAAGATGAAAGGAGGAGGATGAAAGATGAAAGGCTCACATGCTGACGTGTGTTATTGAGAGCCTCCAATCATCATCATCATCATCATCATCATCATCATCATCCTGATTATACTTGTTATACTATTTCAGTTTTGAACTTCTCCGGATATGATTTTCTTTCTTTCTTTCTTTCTCTCCTCTCGTCTTTTCTATTCTCATCCATTGTTTTCTTTCCTCGTGTCTTTGAATAGCTTTCTTCCTCAGTTTTTTCTTTTCCCTTCTTCTTTTTTCTCCCATCTCTTCCACACTTGTCTTTAAAAGGTTCCTCCCTCCTCTCGTCCCCTCGTCTTTCTTTCGTTTTCATCCTTCTCTCTCTCTCTCTCTCTCTCTCTCTCTCCAGCTGTCAGTGTTATGTAATCTGAGGACAAGAGCCCCTCTCTCTCTCTCTCTCTCTCCTTCTCCCTCCATCATCCCCAGATTGTTAATCATACTGTGACGTGATTACTCAGTGTTTTTTCTTCGCTCTCGTCGTGTTTACTGAAATAATGAATTCTGGGAATTCTGTTCTTGGAATGTTAGCGTCGTTAGTGGCCAAAAAACATTAAATAACGTAATCAATCGTAGATGGCGATTATAATGGTTGTAGCTAATTTGATTTAATATCAGAGCAGCAAATTAAAACATTCGTACACAGTGAAGAGTGATCTCTCCACATTTCTATAAATAACTTTTAATGATTTAGTTGTTTCATCGATATCAATACAGCTTGTCATCTACCCAGGATGAAATAAAACTCTTTCAATCAATCAATTAATCAATTTAATGGAGACTCGTTAAACTGTCTTCCTGCCACACGTTCCAGACTTTCATCCAAAACCAGTCTGTTCTCCTCACAGACATAAAACCTTGTGTTCAGGGGTCATTTCCTGTAGCGTGTTTTTGTTGTTTGTTCTCAGCACAAAGTTTGTGAGAAGAAGTTGTGAGAGTGAGACTCTTTTACCCATAAATCCTTGTTCTGGTTGTTTAATATAACAACAGTTACACAGTTTTAATTAAACTACAACAAAGAAGTTCTCAGTCGGTGTTTATGTTCCTGTAACTTAATAAAAACTGCTCCTGAGTTTCTCTTATTTGTTCGTCAGATCTCAGAGATCCTGTAACTCAGCTGGAGCAAAATAAAAGAGCAGAGGCTGAAACGAGGAAACCGCAGCCGGGAACAAAACCCTCATCAACAAAGTGAGCTGCTGATGAGAGTGACAGAAAGATTAAGTGTTCCAGAAAACACGGCCAGGCAGCGCACAATGTGATCAGGTCTAATTCCTGGACGACGGGCGCTCCTCTGTTTGATTTCCAGCTCACGTGCAAAGCTCCTCAGAGGTGCACGAGTTCAGGATCTGTCCTAACGAGCATCGCGGGACAACAAGTCAACCACAAATGACATCAAATCCTGTGTGTTGTTTAAACGTGTGTGTTTTATCTGTTTGTGTGTTGCAGGGTAACACAACTGATGGGTTACACACCTGAGGATCTGCTGGGTCGCTCGGTTTACGACTTTTACCACGCCCTGGACTCCGACAGCGTCACCAAGAGTCACCACAACTGTGAGTGCATGCAACACACACACACACACACACACACACACACACACACACACACACACACAGATTTGGACTTAACATAAAGAGGAATGCTGCACTGTCACTAAAAGGCTGGTGGAAGAGAACATCACATTTGTACACTGTCTGTATATGTGTGAGTATATATGGTTATATACACGTATATTAAACATTTGTGTGTGTGCGTGTGTTTGTTTGTGCAGGGCTCGGTTTAAAAATGACTTTTATTACATTAAGTTTTGTCTCTGATCATCACATCTGCTGGAACAGACACAAACGCAGAGGAACCAGGTGGTCACTATAGCAGTAATGACTGTGTGTGTGTCTGTGTGTGTGTGTGTGTGTGTGTGTGTGTGTGTGTGTG